AAAAGGAGCACTTTTCATCATATCAGAATTAATAATAATGTTTTGTAACTTTTAAATGTTTAATTTTGTTGATATCTTTAATGATGATAATTTCTTATATAAAAATAACAATGATTTTGACATTATTTTAATTAGCGATATAACCAAATATGTTATTCTTAATAATGATATGACAAAGAGTGTTCAACTTAGTGGTGATAATGTTTAAAATCATTTATTTTTTTGTGAGAAAATTTAATAGTTTTTAGATATATTTTTTTTAAAAAAAGTTTTTAATTTGCAAAAGTTTCAATTTAAAAACTTTGAAGTTTTAAGAAAATATTTTTGACTTTTATTAAATTCAATTTTAGAATTTTTTCTGTAATTTTCTAATTTTGTTTAGGTTTTTATTATTAATTGCAATTATTAAATAAAAAAAAACAAAAAAACAACATGTGACCTACTATTGTAGGTTAACAAGTCACAATTTTAACTTAACGAAAAAGTAAGCCAAGTTGAAGGTTTTTTGTGATACAAATATCAAGTTGAATGTTCAATATACTAGTTAAATAAGTTAAAGGTTTAAAATGCTAGTGAGTGTCATTTTAAAGGTTTTTTGAAGGTTTTTATGTTATTTTCCCCAAAAAAATGTCTATCCTTCGTTTATCTTTTTTCTCCCCAACCGGTAATGTAAATAGAGTGATACAGAAAACGATAAATATTAAAAAGGTGTGAGTTCGTGTCAGCGTACCGCGTACGTACATAAATGTACAATATTGGCCATGTATAAACAATATAGCGAACTGACTCAATAAAGTCTTTTACGTTGTGTTGTCACAATGAAATTAATGCAAAAAGGTATAATTAAAAAGCATTTTCAGTTTATTTATTCAAAGTTATATAAAATTCTGTATTTTCGTCTTATCGGGACATAACTCGTTTCTGTTGTGACAAAACCCTTTTTGGTATGTCTATTAAATTATCAATTAATGTTCGTTATGGTGCCCATATCACATTTGTCGCCTTCTTTTCCTCCCAAATATTTATTATTTTCTGGCGAAAGAGGATATAATTGTTTATTTAATTTTTAAAAGAAAAGATATCTAGACTTCCCAATTGGGAAATGGCCAACGTAACTCTATATAAAGTAAGCTTCTGTCAGGCACGCAAATAAAGGTCTGCATGTTATGAAAAGCATGGTCGGTCGAGAGCGATCTACCTTTCGGATATTTCGTTTTCTTCCATCTTCTATATTATGTAGTTACGTGAATTCCTAATGTTTGTATTACACACACGTATTACTATTTGTTTCACGGGTCATTTATCGAAAAAGTTATCTGTTGGAACATTCGTCGTTCTAGATACTAGATTGTCATATTTCAGTCTTGATTACATTGTGTCACCTGGAATGGTATCCTTTTTAACCGAGAATTACATGTCAATTTCGAACTAATTAGGCTTTGAAGTATGTACTCGCTATGTCAGTTTTTGCAATAATAAGAAGCCTCCGACATGCTGATGATTATGATCACTAATATTACTTCTTTTATATGATATTAAATACTTTAGTAAAGTACGCAAACTATGAAATCGTTAAAGCTTGAAACATGTCAAGTTAACGAGTTAACGCGTACGTGCCAGCTTTTGGGATTACTCATTTTTAGATACACTTTTGATATAGTTTAATGATTTTTGTTACATAAAATGATTAGTGAGGATGTTTATGTTGGTTAAAATTTGAATAGGTCTACCATTCGTACGTACAATTAGCAACCACCGCGTAATCTATTTATTGTTCGACCGAGTAAGCTTCTTCGTGTTGCCAAAACACTAAATTTGGGATATATATATATATATATATATGATCTAAAAATATATATTCAGATTCAACTTGGCTATTTGACTGGGACAAATTTATTTAACTAGTTGGGGCATTGAGCTACCAGTTATTTGTTTTTTTTTGTTTTTTTTGTGTGTATTTATATAGTCTTGTTAGTATATAACTATATACTCTTGAAAAACCACTGCTTCGTGATCTCCAAACGATCTTATATATAGTCCATTTCAAAAAAAAAAAAATCTAGCTTTCATTTGATGTTCCTTTCATTCTAAATAAGTAGTAAGTTTTATTAGATTCATCAGGTTGAAACATTAGCAAATGTATTTTCCTTGTTTAACAGCCTGAGATTTATCTTGTATTTTATTATATATATCATGTGGTTTGGGTGCTTACAAATATGCTAAGTTTGCTATCATGTTTTTTTTATAATTGATAGATTAAAAGAGGCATGAATCATGGTGAGCCAAGTGTCACTGAAATATTGACAACAGTAAAGCCGCCAATTCTAAATACCGGGATAAATAGGTTTTGACATGGGGATGATCAGTGTATGGATGGGAACTTTATTTGTTACATTGATTTTGTTAAACTGCAAATGAATTATATCATCGATACATAATGTACATGAAAATGGGATTATATATGTGTGTGTGTGTCATGGGATCTATGAAAGAAGCTAACTAATAATTTAAGTTGTATACTCTTCTTTTTCTTGGCAACACCAGTAGATCGATGATAAAATCATTTTTGAGAAATTAGAAAAATTACTAGAGATAGTTAGTTCAACTGAAAAATATCTTTATTCATTATGTTAGAGGTCTCTGATTTGAGCCATCATAAAACTAATATTAAATATTGTGTTTTCGTGTTTAGAGAGATTGCGAGTTTGGTCCCGATTTCTTTGGTATTAAAAATGTTGTCAACAAAAATATATCTGAATAATCTAAGCTAAGTCTTAGAGACCATTAACCATTTCTACACATAGAAGTCACGTTTTCTTTTAATGATATCAGACAAGGTTTTAACCCATAAGTGTGGATTAATTAATTCAAGAGATATTTTAGTTTTTTAACACTAACTAATGATATTTGCCTGTGTGTACCGCTAATATGGGAGAAAAATAGCAAGTGTTTAAGATTAGCAAGTCAAGAGCAATATGGCCAGGAGATGTGTGTGATTTTGTTAGCGTCATCTAGGTCTAATCATCCAGATCCAAATCAAAATAATTTATTTCATCAACAATAATTAAATTAAAACAATACATATATGCGTATACATATCAATTTATTTATTTTAGTTTTCCTTGATAAAGTCCTAGTATTGTTTTTTTTTTTTGAATATTCACAAGCTTCTCATAGCCGGATAACCCATATGAAGTCAACAAGTTATACAAAATAATTATTTGCAAACCCGATATTGCATGTTGATGTGGTTGATCTTTACATTTTGTTTCTGTTCTCATAACAAAAAACATTTTGTTGCTAGGTGGGAACAATAGTGAATCAACGGACACCTAACCGAATAATGAAATATCCAAAGGGAGGACATGAAGATTTCTTGTTTTTCCGATGTATGTCTTAGGTTATCGTTCATTTTTCGAGGGACGAGGGTAGAAGTTAAATGATAGTTAGTTCTTACTTTTTTTTTCTTAAAAATATGAAATTATGAAGCACAAGAGGTGCATTTTAAAACCAAATGTATCTTATTAAAACAGAATCTTATTTTTGGACATAACTTTTTGTAAGTTTTTAAATTAAATACACATTTCTACTTTATAATTAAGCATACCTTAAATCATACTCCATTTATTTATAATACTATCCATGTTTTCAAACAACAATATAGTTAATCTGGTGTCCAAACAATATAAAACATTAAATCTCATTTATAACATTTCGTATAACAATTTTTTTTTTCAAATTATTTTAATAAATTAAATAATTGAAAAATTAAATAATTTATGAAAATTAGAAAATAAATAGAAACTTATTTGTGCAGGTTTAGATACTACAAAAACATATCAATCAATAACAAATTAAATAATTTAACAGATTATTTTATTTATATTTCCTAAATAATGGTTATATCATTTATTTAAGTAGCATAATAATTTATACTAGCCTTTACATAATATATATATATATACAATATACTTTAAAAATAAGTATATTATATAATAAATATAATAATAGAAATAATTGTGAAAATATTCAATATATATATTATCTGAATAAAAATACTTAACACTAATTGTAACAACAAATTTAAACTGATTATAATATGAATCAAATTATTATCAAGATAAATTACACGAAGAAATTATGGTAACGTCAATTAAGCTAGATAAAAGAAGAGTAATATAATCAAGACATATTTATAGTTTTTAATTATTTTATATCTATCATTTTCTCTATCAATAATTTCATAAAATTGTAAAATAATGAACTTCAAAATTTGGATTAAAAGGTGATTAGTTATGAAATGATAAAACTTAAATTAAATTGGACGACATATCATTACCTTCGGTTCAGTTAGTTAATTTCGGATTTTAGTGATTTTTATTGATTTTAAATATGGATATATGATAATCTAAACTAAATTATTGGATCACCGGATTAATCTGTTTTCAAATTTAAAATCATTGATTTAAATGCATAAATGTATTAAATACATAATTTTTTACAAATTAATCAAATATTTATTAAGTTATTAGTAAATTTACTCCGAGTGGTTCATGATCTAGTAAGCCTTTAAAGCATAGCCATCAATTTTTAAAAGGTCCACATAATTATATAAAAACATAAACCTTCTCTTACCCTACCTTTTGTCTACTTAAGGGCCAAATTGCTCTAATTCTTTCTTTGTTAAATTGATTAAAGATTAGGCTTTATAAGAAATTAACGAATTAATCATTTTGAGTGGCTCTGCATCTCTTTTAATTAATTAGTTTGTTTGTTAGGTCAAAATCTCACACGCTCTTTTTGCATGCTATGTGACACGTGCTATCGTCGTCTCTCTCAAATGAGCTGTCTCTCTAATAAGTGTTTCTCTGTCTAGGAACCTCTATTTGAAACCTCCTCCTCCTCTCTCTCTCCTCATTCATCTTTTTTTCTATCTCTCTCTCTCCTCTTACACATGAGAAGAGCCTATAAAACCCCTTCACATCTCCCACTTGGTTTGCATCACAATACATCTTCCCATTACACAACAAAACAAAACAAAATATCTTGTCTTCTTTAATAACTTGAAGTCACAAGTTCTTTGTTGTTCAGCTACTTCCTCTTCCCACTTTCATCATACGAAGTGGGTTTTGCTGAACACAGAACGAAAAACTCTAAATTCTTTTTAAAAGAAAATGGATTTCTCCGCCTTGTTCCTCACTCTCCTCGTCGGAATTCTCTTCCTCTACTTTCTCCGGTGCTACAACTCTCAGCGCCGCCGTGGATCCTCGAAACTCCCACTCCCGCCGGGAACAATGGGTTGGCCTTACGTCGGCGAGACTTTCCAGCTCTATTCTCAAGACCCTAATGTCTTTTTCGCATCCAAACAGAAAAGGTCGGTGTTTTCGAAAATAGTAAAAAAAAAACGTTAAAAAGAAAACTAAAAATCTTCTCTTTTTCTTACAGGTACGGATCGGTGTTTAAGACACATGTACTAGGATGTCCATGTGTGATGATCTCAAGCCCTGAAGCTGCTAAGTTCGTGCTGGTGACCAAGTCTCATCTCTTTAAACCTACTTTTCCGGCGAGTAAAGAGAGGATGTTGGGGAAACAAGCCATCTTCTTCCACCAAGGTGATTACCACGCCAAACTCAGGAAGCTCGTTCTCCGTGCTTTCATGCCTGAAGCAATCAGAGACATGGTTCCCGACATCGAATCAATCGCACAAGATTCTCTCCGAACCTGGGACGGAACAATGATCAACACTTACCAAGAAATGAAAACTGTAAGACACACATATTTCCTCTATTTTTTTTTTCTCTTTTAAAAAACAGAGCATCTCTGTTTAAGAAACAGAGTATCTCTGTTTTTTTCTTAAATCCTCTGTTTTAAAACTGTTGTTTTTCTTTTCATCAGTACACATTCAACGTTGCGTTGCTGTCGATCTTCGGAAAAGACGAGGTTTTATACAGAGAAGATCTAAAGCGATGCTACTACATTCTCGAGAAAGGCTACAACTCTATGCCTATAAATCTCCCTGGAACGCTCTTCCACAAAGCCATGAAGGCACGCAAGGAGCTCTCGCAGATCCTCGCCAGGATCTTATCAGAGAGAAGAGAGAAGAGATCCTCACACAACGATCTTCTCGGTTCATTCATGGGAGACAAAGAAGAGCTGAGCGATGAACAGATCGCCGATAACATAATCGGAGTAATCTTTGCGGCTAGAGACACGACGGCGAGTGTGATGGCGTGGATCCTCAAGTACTTAGCTGAGAATCCCAACGTTCTAGAAGCCGTTACTGTAAGTACTTTATACTGACACGTATTTGTAGTTTTTTGGTAATAAAAGTGGTAGTTTTGTGAATTTTTGTTGTTGTGTTCTTGATAGTTTCTTTTTTGGGTATTTAACAGGAAGAGCAGATGGTAATAAGGAAAGACAAAGGAGAAGGAGAGTCTCTAACTTGGAGTGATACAAAGAAGATGCCAATAACTTCAAGAGTCATTCAAGAAACATTAAGAGTCGCTTCAATCTTATCTTTCACATTCAGAGAAGCTGTTGAAGATGTCGAGTATGAAGGTATTAACATAAAATTTACAAATCATTTTCATGAATCCCAAACCATATTCTTTGAATTTATTTATTTTTACTTTGTTGCAGGATATTTGATACCTAAAGGATGGAAAGTGTTGCCTCTTTTCAGAAACATTCATCATAGTGCTGATATCTTTTCAAATCCTGGGAAGTTTGATCCATCAAGATTTGAGGTAATGTATTTATCTTGTGAAACAATATCTTTTATGTTTTAGAGATTTGACTTGCATTGATATTATTTATTTGGTACGTAGGTGGCTCCAAAACCCAATACTTTCATGCCATTTGGCAATGGAACCCACTCATGTCCTGGCAATGAATTAGCCAAGCTTGAGATGTCTATCATGATACATCATCTAACCACCAAGTACAGGTGTGTGTACTACTTACTTATTACCTTCCCCTTTACCTTAAAAATGATTTATTCTCTCTGCTGACAAGGTGTGTTTTTTGTAATATCAGATGGTCAGTACAAGGAGCGAGCGATGGGATTCAGTATGGACCCTTTGCGCTTCCCCAAAACGGACTGCCCATTATGCTGGCCCGGAAGTCGGAGATTGATATGTGATTCTATAGTTGAAAGAGGAGGAAGGAGCTATAGAAGAAAAACTAGATAATTTTATTTTTTTCTTGCTAATGAGTAATAGGGAGAAATGGAGAAAAACAGAAAGAAATCAAAGATTTTGGTAGAAAAAAAAACCCAAAATGGGAATCAGGAGAAACCACCAACTGTACAAAAATTCCAATTTTTTCTTATTGTTTTGGATTATGATGGAAAAAGTTGGTCACTGAATTTTAAATACAGAGAAAACGTATGAATATCTAATGTACTTTCTTCATCTACAAAAAAAAATCACTTATCTGTTTAACTAATTCATCATGGATTGCACTTTCCAAGTTTTTAAAGTATAACTTATGGTTTTATTTGATAAAAAAAAGAAAACAAAACGTATGGTTTTGTAGTTAATTTTTATCTTAGATCCAAAAAAACTTATTGTTTAATATTATACTCTCTTCTATATTAAGGGTCGTTGTAATTTTTCATTACAAAATAAATGATATCGTTTTCGGTTTTTATTGCAAAATTTATATTTATTATGTAGTTTAATTTTATTGATTAAGATATATTAACTGTAACTGTATTTTATATAAAAAATATATAAAATTAATTATTTTCTTAATCCATGTACATATATTCAAAACAATATTTATAATGAAACAGAAAAGTATATATTCCTTCCGTTTGAATTAATTGTTATTTTAGAGAAAAAATTCGTTTTAAAATAAATGTCCTTTCATTTCGAATTAACTGTCATTCTAGACTATCTGTCCTTGAAAACGAAGAAGAAATACATGTCTACGAGGAAGACCAGATTTCTATCCTCATCTGTGCCTATTATGATAAAATCTTCACAGCAAATCAACAGAGTGACAACCAGACGGTCTTAAAAGCGCTACATCCGTGTATCTCCCAAACCTGGAATGACGCTCTCATTAAGAACCTTACGGCTAATGAAACAAAGGAGGCTCTCTTTGCCATTCATGCAGATAAGGCCTCCGGTTTCTCGGCAAGCTTCTTCCATTCAAACTGGGACGTCATTGGACCCTCAGTCATCAATGGAATCCAAAGCTTCTTCTCCTTGGGGATCATGTCTCCTACGCTAAATGAAACACACATAAGATTGATTCCAAAAATTCAAGGAGTAAAAAAGGTAGAAGATTACCGCCCCATTGCCCTGTGCAATGTCTACTACAAGATTATATCCAAATTGCTATCTCTGCGCCTAAAGCCGGTCCTTGGTTCCATAATCTCTGAAAATCAATCTGCCTTCATACCTGGGAGAGCAATTACATATAATGCGTTAATCACACATGAAGATCTGCAGTTTCTAAAAAATTCTCAAGCAGAAAACAGTGTTCAATGGCTGCTAAGATGGATATGTCTAAGGCATACTACAGGCTGGAGTGGAACTTTATAACACAAGTGCTTAATAGACTGGGTTTCCATGAAAGGTGGACCAATTGGGTCTGGAAATGTAGTACCTCTGTCTCCTACTCTTTCCTAATAAATGACACAGTCTACGGCTCTGTGAAACCTCACCGGGGTATCAGACATGACGACCCTATCTTCCCCTATATCTTCATCCTTTGCGGCGAGGTTCTGTCTAGTCTATGCAGGAAAGCAGAGCTAAACGAAACCCTCTGTGGAATTCGTGTGGCCAGAGGAAGTCCTAGAGTCAATCACCTCATGTTCGCTGATGATACGATAATGTTCAGTAATTCTTCAGAGGAAAGTTGCTTGGCACTGGTGCAGATCCTGCAAAAGTATGAACAAGCTTCAGGTCAGAAGGTCAATATTGCAAAATCCTCTATTACGTTCTCTAAGAAAACCCCCCAAGACAAGAGAGAAAGAGCAAAAACAATTCTTGGAATCTCTAAGGAGGGAGGAGTAGGCAAATATTTGGGTCTCTCTGAACTATTCAGAAGGAAAAAGAAAGACTTATTCACGCAAATTGTGGACATGATAAAACAAAGAGCCTCAAATTGGTCTACTCGCTTTCTATCTAAGGCGGGTAAGCTCACTATGCTTAAAGCAGTACTAACAGCCATCCCAACATACACAATGTCATGATTCCAAATCCCGGTAAGCCTTTGCAAGCGAATTCAATCAGCATTTACCCGATTCTGGTGGGATACCTCAGAGGAAAAAAAAGAAAATCTGTTGGGTATCCTGGGAGAAGAAAACAAAACCTAAGTCAGCGGGGGGTCTGGGCCTACGAGACATTCAGCTTTTTAACCAAGCCTTACTAGCTAAGTTAGCCTGGAGAATCCTAACCTCACCACACTGTCTCCTAGCACGAGTTCTAAAAGGGAAGTACTGTCATTAAAAAAGTCTTCTAGATGCTCAATTACCTGCTGTATGCTCCCATAGGTGGCGCAGTATACTTCACAGCAGAGACCTACTCCAACAACACCTAGGAAAGGCAATAGGAAATGGTCAAGATACAAGGGTCTGGAAAGATTCCTGGATTAGTATTGAATCTCATATAAAGCCTTTCGGGCCTATACACGAAGCTGCCCTTGATCTTAGAGTCTCTGATCTACTCACTGATGATTTGCAATGGAACTCGACAAGAATCAACGAATTGTTACCTGATTTTAGCTCCCAAATTAAGCTCCTTAGGCCAAGTAAGGAAGGAAGCAACGACATCTTCATCTGGCAGTCTTTATCATCAGGTACTTACTCTACAAAGTCGGGCTACAACACCGTGGCAAATCCCCAGCCGATCTCAGCCCCAGTACCTCAAAGGACAGAAATAGATTTCAATTGGTTAAAAGATGTTTGGTCACTCAAGACATCACCGAAGCTAAAAGTATCCGTATGGTCTAGTATACAAGGAGCCCTCCCTATTGGAGAAAATCTACAAAAAAGAGGTATAATTACCGAAGCCCTGTGTCCTAGATGCAAGAATACCGAGACATCATCACATCTTTTCTTCCACTATCTTTTTGCCAAAGAAGTCTGAATACTTATTCCCCTGTTGCGACCAATAAACCTTGTCGAGGAGCTGGATCTCAAAAAAACTCTGGTTCTCTCTCGCAAAGGTATCTGCCTCCCTCCATCTGGAATCAAGTACAATATTTTTCCTTGGGTTTGTTGGTCCCTCTGGTGTGCCAGGAACAAGCTCATCTTTGAGGATAAGACAAATAGACCTAGTGATATAACAACGATTGGAATCTCCTTAGCAAGAGAATGGGAACAAGCTCAAGGATTATCCTTATCGACACAGCTACTTACAGCGCAAAACAGCTCTCTTCCTCACCGAGAAGTCCAGGCATCGACGCCGCTCTCGTGTAATGTGGATGCTGCATGAGATGCCACCTCGAAAAGAGCTGGAATCGCCTGGAAACTAAGCAACCAGCATAGACATTTCCCCACTTCAGGATCCTGCCCCGTTGATCACGTCTCCTCACCGTTAATGGCAGAGGCACTTGCCCTCCGCTTGGGAGTAGAGAAGGCCGTGGATATGAAAATCCCTAACATTACCTTCCTTTCCGATTGCAAAACGCTCATCAGAGTAATCAATTGCAAAACTCAGATCTCGGAAATCTACGGAGTCATCAAAGACATCGGCAGCTTTTCCTCTGGTTTTGAATCTATTCTCTTCCAGTTCATCCCTCGTTCCCAGAACAGGGAAACTGATCAGATTTTTAAACAGGCCCTTAAGGCCTCTTATGTTTTTCCTTCTTCTTTCGTTATGTCTGAATATGTAATGGGCTGGCCTCTGGGCTAAAACTCTTTTAAGCTTGATTAATATAATTCTATTGTTTTAAAAAAAAAATTTATTAGTTTTATATGATATTTTATTTTTCTATTCTTTGAAAAGTGGTTAGATGTATAGGTAATTGTGTTTTTATCTTGAAAATATGTAAAATTAAATGTTTTCTTAATTTATGTGTAAAAATCTAGAATGACAAATAAAGTGAAACGGAGAGAGTATTAGTGAATTGTTTACATAAAGACATCCCAAAGCATTATTGCACAGTCTGTTGATTAAGTTTTATATTATACAATAAATCATTTATTTAAAATGAAATAAACTAACTTGGACTACAAAAATTGAATGACTATCTAAGTAACCAAACTCTCAAACATGTGTTTGTTATGACGCAAAAATATTATACATCAATATGATATTTACTTTTCATCATATATTATAAGAATTCAAAGTTTAAATTTACAGTGTCCTAACAAAAAAAAAAGCTGGCAAAACGAGTAGATATCTTAGCGAACGAGAATATGATTATAATGTACAATACTTATGTAGTGTCGTATATATGCTCCGTGGTATTGTGTATGTTTTCTTAAGAATTGGTTGGGATGTATCATGTATGATATGTTTTTAGCCCTTTGTCATCTACACTTAAAAATTAAAAAAAAAATGATTTATGTTGGTTTTTAAAGTAAAATTCCAAAAAAAAAAATAGTTGTAAAATTTTTACTTTCTAAAGCAACAATTGTTGAGTCGTATAATTTAGTGATGATTGGTTTGGCTGTACTTCTACTGTATAATATAATTTGTAAAATTTTTGTTGCTGTATTTTTTTATTTAAAACAGTTGTAAAGTTAAATAAGAAAAATAGAAAAGAGATATTCATACATAATTTTTTTATAAGGCTACAAATTTTTAAGTTTAATGTAAAAAGTAAATAAAGAATAATTGATAACTTTTATGGTTGTAATCAGAAAACAAAACTAAAGATATTTGATATAGTCCAATCAATCTCCGCTAAATGTTTTGTTGTAGCAATATATTTATATTTTTCTTCTAAATTTGAAAAGTACATCAAATACATGTATATCAAAAATCACGTAGATTAATTTCTATAAATAAATATAATTATCTTATTTCAGTAAGTTTATGTAAGTGCTAAGGATATTGATTTCGATCCAAGATTCATTATAAAATATTACTACCTTGTGTTATGATTTTGTTTTAATACTTTGATACAAAATACTAACCAGACCACAGCATAATATGTTTGTAGACTCAAGCCAAAGTTAAAAAAAAAAAACATATCATGTTTGTAGACTCAAGCAAGTACCACATCATTGAATGGCTATAGAATGGTTAGCATTGCCACAAAGTCTTTGACCAACATTCACCCATGAATTATGTTGTCATTGTTGATGTAATTATATTGACCATCATCACCCCCTATTTTATTTAGTAATGAGATATATAACTTCTATTATACTATGATGAGGATATTGCTGCACAGCTGTTATAGATTCCTAGGGAAAAATATCAAACGGACTATCAATTTCTAGTCACTTTCTGTCTTATTATCGTTTTATTTCAGTTAATATGTATTTATGTTCTGATAATAAGTATTATCCTATGAGCAAATGGACAAATGGGCCAAATACTGTACGAAATTAAATGATAAATTCCATAAAATTGATTTCGAAAAGAAACAAAAATCATCAGTGTCCTTGCTCACTGACGAATTCCATCACAACCAGATGGAAAAATGATGTTTTAGCCAAATAATGTGTGCGACTACAAAGAAAAAAACGCATGGTTATTGTTGAAAAGGAAAACAAAATTACTTGATACTTTCTCAAAAAAAAAAAAAAAGAAGTTATACTTTAGACCAAAACCACAGCCGTGCTTACATGAGGAAAAAAACGCATTTGCCTAGGGCATCTCTTTTTAAAAAGTTATAAAGCATTTCTTATAATTATTTCATTTAACTAGATCTTACATAAGACAATCATAAAACATAGTCTTTGTAACAGTTTTACGGGTAAGTACAAACAGATCATAAAATGAGAACGTGGTTACTTTAAGAAACCAAACAAGATATGGAAACAATTGTTTTTCCTCTAAAACTGGGTAAATAACAAAAAAAAATTCTCTATACATTTTAGATGCCAAAAAATATTTGTTATATGGTTCTATTACACTAAACTACAATAACGAACATTAATGTTCGAAAAAACTATAGTAACGTTTAGACATATTTTTCATAAAAGAGACTATTCATCTATCGCTTTGGGCAATAACTAGTGCTCGCACGGCTCTGACCAAAACAAGAATGATTTTTATGTATTACTACTTTGTTTGGTGACTTTGTATTACTTACGTCATTTTGTCGTCCTTTAAATGTACAATATTTCATGATTTTTACGTTCTAATTCTAAATTTAGTATTTCACAGCTCATATGTAAAATTAATTAGTTTTTTATATCTCAAATTATTTTATGTTACATTTATAATTTTCTAAAATTACCCGCTAGGTTCCCAACTTCCCATGACTTTTAACTACATAGTGAAAACTGAAAGGCTATAGCTAGGTATAACAAAAAAAACATCTACAACCATTTCACATATTTTAGTATAATTCAAATCCACCAAACGGTACTAACACGATATATTTAAGACCATAATTTAACTATATGTCTATTTAAGGCCTAAAAACTTCTAAAACCTTGGTTCAATACACCCCCTTAGTTTTTCATATCTCAAATTATTTTATGTTACATTTATAATTTTCTAAAATTACTTGCTAGGTTCCCAACTTCCCAAGAGTTTTAACTTCATAGTGAAAAGCTATAGCTAGGTATAGCAAAAAATCATCTACAACCAATTCGCATATATAATTCAAATCCACAACTACGACCAAACGGTACTAACACGATATATTTAAGACCATAATTTAAATATATGTTTATTTGATCTGCACGTGCATTAATTAGCTAGATCATATGCGAATAAACCCGAGAACAACATTGAATGTGAACCTGCATCGATCTAAATACCTTTCACTATGGAAGTACGAATACATCACATATATATGATATATGCGCTGCTGGTATACGTTTCAACTCAACTCCGAATATATACGATAATGAACTTAAGCTTATAAAACCCCAGTCATCTCGCACGGGGGTTGGTCTTTGAAATAAGTTTTGGGCATTGCTTTCTTATGAGCATTGTGACTACCTCTTTTACTTGTTCAGATCCTAGTGTTTTTTCACCTCCATAAAATCTTCTCTTTATTCCACTTCTTTCATCAAACAAATATCATCTTGGATTCACTCTTGATCTGATTGTGAACCGTTATCTTCCTATGGGTGTCACGTATTTTATTTATTCAACCGGTCATTGAATTTGATATTGACTTAACTGTCAAAAATATCTGTTAAAACTTAAGATATACACTAGATATTGACCCGCACAATCGTGTGGATTTTGTTTATTTATAGTTTATAAACAATTATCAATAAATAACAATATATTTACTTATAAAATCTAGCAAAATACTAAAGTGATAGAAGTTAAAATGTCATTTTTAAACACAACATGAAAATATAAATTATCATTAAAAATTATTTATCTATAATATATCTAAATAAATGTTAAAATGCATTGTATGCAAATCGCAGAAACTAAAACTATATATTAAAGAAGATTATATATTTGATTATTCAGATTACAATCTATTATATTAAAAGAGAAGTCACAACTTGTATTCATGTGTGATATTTTTTTAAAATGGACGTTCCTTAGAAAATATTATTTCATTTATTTCTTATTAACATATTGACATCATTAAGATATCACATATTATTTAATCAACACATATAACAACTCTACCTATAAATTTTTTTTAATTTTATTTCTAATTATATAAATTCTGTTGAAAAATAATTTAACAAAATGTTACAAAACAATTTAAATATTTTTGTATAATAATGCATTGATTAATTTTGTAATTAGTAGTCTATTTATTTGAATATAACAATATAATTATTTATAAAAAATTCTATATACTAAAAATATAGATGCTAAATTATATATTTTAAACACAACCAGGAAATATAAATGATCCTAACCAAATATTATTCTATTATATAACTAAATAAAATTTGAAAATATTTTGCTTGCAAACTCTAGAAAAATGTATAAAACGTACAAAAAACATTTAACCCTTTTCAATAGGTAACCCTTTAAAAAATATTTAACCCCTTTTCAAAAATATTTAACCCCTTTCAATAGGTTAAAAATAGGTAACCTCTTTCAAAATATTGTTATACATTTTATACATTTTTCTACAGTTTGCAAGCAAAATATTTTAAAATTTTATTTAGTTATACAATAGAATAATATTTGTTTATGATCATTTATATTTCATAGCTGTGTTTAAAATATATAATTTCATCTATAATTTTAGTATATAGACTTTTTTATAAATAATTATATTGTTATATTAAAAAAATTTAGACTACTAATTACGAAATTAAGTAATGCATTATTATATAAAAATATTTAAATTTTTTTGTAAGATTGTTATATTCTTTTTCAAAAGAATTTATATAATTAGAACTAAAGTTAAAGTAATTTTATAGGTGGAGTTGTTATATGTGTTGATTAAATAAGATGTGATATCATAATGATGTTAATATATTAATAAAAAATAAATAAAATACGACTTTTTAATAAAAGTCTATTTTAAAAAATATCACACGTAAATAGAAGTTGTGATTTCTTTTTTAATATAATAGATAGATTTATCGTATCAAAACAATCCAGGTCTTATCTTTTGGACTCGCTTAACTGGCTGATACTGAACGACTGTGAATTATATCAACCATTCCACTCCTCCCTGTTTACAAGAATATTGACTTTTGTATTTTCTCTTAGATAGTAAAGAACTTTCATTAAGAAAACTTGTTAAAAAAAAACTTTCATTAAGTATATACAGTCGCAAAAAAATGCAAGAATTTTATAGGATACTGCATATCGATATTTTCGGCGTAATCATATCCTTTCAGAGTCCTAATATTTATTTATTTCTTACCAGATCGGATATTTTTACGTATCCGTACCATATCGGGCCAACAGACGACTTGTAAACATATTCTGAATCTTACTATACTAAAAGGGGCATATACTTCCCCCTCCTTAAGCCACGTCAGCTTTTTTAATCATCCAATGGGATGTATTCTTTTCACCACGTCAGATCATCACATGGAGGGCCTCTGAATTGGTTTCGTAACATATTCCTCCTCACGAGAGAGATCATCCAATCCCCGATTCATAACCAGCGAAGATCGATTCCGTCCCGTTGACGTCAAAGAGCTCTAGACGGCTGCCTCCGCTGTACTGGATTCCCGAGGAGACGATCGCGCTCATCGACGGCTACCGCGATAAATGGCACGCTCTAAACCGCGGGAACCTGAAGGCGAATCACTGGGAAGAGGTCGCGTAAACTGTCGCCGCCACGTGTCCCGACGTGACGCCGAGGAAAACCAAGGTTCAGTGTAGGCATAAGATGAAGAAGCTCCGGCAGAGGTACCGTACTGAGATCCAGTGAGCAAGATCTGTGCCTGTGGCGAGATTCGCCTCCTCTTGGGTTCATTATAAGCGTATGGAAGGTATGGAGAATCGACCGGAGAGTAAAGCTGATGACGAAGAGACAACGCCGAGGTTCTTTAACAGGAATGGTGGTGGTGGAGGCGGCGGTGGGATCTGGATTCGGATACCGACGGGAGTGAGCATTGCCGATTGGTCCGAGATTACCCGGTAAGATCGAACTGAGTCCAAGTTTTGGTGTTTGTACGATTCCAAGACTTGGTCGTGTTGTCGGGACAGGATTGAATTACGGACGTAGGGTTCTCTGGGGAGATGATGAGAGAGAAGGGAAACAAGGGAGTGAGATTATGATGATGATTCAACTGGGGAGATAGTGAGTGCGATAAAGCTGCTGGGAGATATGATGTTGAGAACAGAGGAGAAGAAGACGTTATTCCTAGCTGCTGATGTTTTTGGTTTTGATCTGTTTGAGGCGAGTTCAGGTTAGTTTTGTATCAGATGATGATGTTTTTGTTAAAAAGTTTCAAGCTTTTTTTCTTTTGTGTTTGAAATCTCAGAGAGCAAGATGATTACGATGTAGTCAGGAAGGTTGGGAGAGGCAAATATAGTGAAGTTTTTGAGGGGATTAACATTGACAAAAACGAGAAGTGCCTTATCAAGATTCTCAAGCCTGTCAAGAAGAAGAAGGTGAGTGTTGTCTACATTAATTGTTTTTTGTTGCTTTGATTGTGGGTTTGGCTTTCTGAGTTTGTGTGGATCCTTAGAACAGATTAGTAGAGAGATTAAGATACTTCAGAATCTCCAAAGAGGGCCATGTCAAGCTGTTTGATGTTGTCAGAGATTAGAGGTAAATTTAGAGAGAAAAGTTCATACGCTTATAACTTTTTTAAACTGTCATACTAGATTCAATCCTCTAGAAATACAGTAAAAAAAAAAAACACAACACTGGAACTTGAAACGATGAAACTATTTTTTGAAAAAAAAAGTGACTGCCTAGGATTTCAATAACTCCAAGTTACCGAGGACTAATTGTGGCTGCCTTCTACTCTCCAATTATCAGATATCTTATCATTAGTAGATATATTTTGATCGAAATATCTTTTAGTATATTGATGTAATTAATCTTCATTCAGATTGGTATATACAGAATATGCAGAATTTCTCTATTCGCCTTCTTAGTCTTGTGCTGGTGGTGGACTAACAGGATCATTGTTATTTCAAGCAGAAAGAAATGACATTTTACAGGCTCGAGGAGGAAACATTTTGATGTTTACAGAAATGAAAAAACAAATGAGAATCTTACATAATTTTGTAAAGCGTTTCTTAAGATTTTAGTTTCCTGCATGGGTTGGAGACTTGGAGTCATGAAAGTTAAAACAGTCTAAGTTTGTTCAATGATTTAGAATTGGAGAATTCTGTTTAAGTTATCCACAATTACTTCTGCTTTGTAAGTTACTACAATTGCAAGTACAATCGACATATGATGATTAATTTCAGTTATTTTACCATACTTAATACTTATGACTCATTCTCTACCTACACAAATGCTGATTTTTTTATTACAAGGTAAAATATATAATAATATATAATACTTCAATATGATGAATCATGGAGACTAAATGAGTAATATTGAACCAGAATTTGTACATCACACGCTGTGAACCCCCTCTCTCCAGCCTCAAGACTATATTTGAACCAGAATTTCCATTAGTTAGCATGATTAAAGGCAATCATTGAATTTCAATTAAAAGACATAAATTGTCAATCTCTTTTTTTTTTTAAATCAACTACATTCTGATATTCTTAGGGAAGCATACAAATAGCTCTTAGAGAATATTATTATATTTTTAATATTTTATTTTTCTGCATGGAAACATGAATATTTGACATAATTTTAATTATTCTTCATTTTACCATTGCCTTAACACTTTAGAACGAATTCATATAGATTTTCTTATCACCAAGTAATAAATACAATATTAAAATTTTAAATATATGTTGGTTGATTTTAATATTCAAACAAGTGTAAAAAAAGTTCAAATAATTTCAGTTGTTAATTTAACCATATTTTCATAACACTAAAATAAAACAAGGTAAGAGAAAAATTAACTTATATTTTAATATTTGTATTCCTTTTTACCAACTTATATGTATTAGAAAAAAAATATTCTTAAAATTTTAGCATATTCAAATACAAATTATATAATAAACTAAATTAAATTCAAATACAAATTATATAATAAATTAAATTAAAATAAAGGGGAAAACTCCGGGCGTAGCCCGGAAAAATCTCTAGTTAGAATAATGATGTAGTCATAAGTAATCATAGAGTAAATAAATTAAAAAATATGTCGTATTCGGCTGTACTTATGTAATAATGATGCACTAACTTCAAAGAAGAAGCAGGCCTTTTGCTTTGACCACATATAAATAATTTAGAAGTTAGAACTATAACTCTTATACGTAGCAATATCCGTTTGACTTGCGAACATATTAGTTATATATTTTAAAGCTCATATTTGTAAGTTATGTACGTGTACTATCTATCAACTCCGTTACGTGGATTGTTGCAGGATTAATATATGTGAATGTGATCATTTAATTGTTTACGAAGAATAAACAGTCTGGCATAGAGTGTTTGTATATTAGTTGACTTTTTGGCTACAAGCCATAATCTTAGATTAAATATGATTATATAATTATTAACCAGAAAAATATAGGTTAATTAGCTCTATGGCCGTTCGATTGGCTTAAAGACTTGTTAGAGTATTAGGATAACAAACTGTAAAACCACTCTCCTTGGAAATTTGTTTATGGCCGCAAAAGTCGAGAGATGATGTAAAGAAGTATTGTAACAAAACTTCAAAATTCACCAAATTTAAGCAAAAACAAAACTTCAAATTTGGAAATAAAAAAAAGTATACCATCATACTTCTTCCTAAACTTGTAAAGATTATCATTTGATAATTAATCTTAGAAGTAATCGATTGTCCCGAATAACAACAACATCCTATTTGATATGTATACACCGAAAACCATATATATTATAAAGTTATAAACCTTAACTGCTACATTTTCTTTGGTATTCTAACATAGAAGAGCTAAGACCTAAACCGATTAAGTAATTAGAGTGAAAAAGACATTCGTATCAATCTAATTAGTGATTTTTGGTTTCCTTATGTCATAAGTCATAGGCCAGATTAATTACACACCGCAAATAAAATGATTTTTCTGACGTTAAATAGCAATAATAAAACAAACAATGTAGATGTGAAGTATATTAGAATCATATGGTCGGTAGAAAGTACACAATCACAATGCGTTATTTGTTGAGTGGCTTGAGTCCGACTCATCCATTATGAATGTCTACTGGTACACCAATAGTTTCATTTTATTTATTACGAAAATTATGATCATTTTTAAAAACATGTGTGAAGTCACAAGACGACGATCATTGTTCAACAAATCCTATGGCTGAATAAAAAAGTCACAATATGTTTGCTTATGTAACAACATATGAACATCTTTTCTAAATTCTAACAATAGAAAATATTTGTGCATCAAGTATTTTTAGTGCAGTTAAGTATTTTTGCTTAACTGAACCACAGAACCAGTTAGTTTTTTTTTTTGGTAAACAGAACCAGTTAGTTAATCAGAGACACAAGCAAAAACCGGTTTTATCTAGCTTCTCGGCGGTGAACACATGAAGGAAGAATCATGACAGTGCCCATTACGTTTCCAATAAGGCCACAAGATTACCCGTAAGGCTATAGTCACTAACTCACTGAGGCCCAAGGTTGAAGCAACCGACAATGCACACGGTTGTATTTCCTAATTCCTATAAATACCAATCAGTTTAGAACAAAAGCGATTAATTGACCCGCCGGATCAGACGGGTATTTATTTTATATTTTTAGTTTTTTTAGTTTATTTTGAATGATGTTTTTATAATATTTAAACACAAATTTAAATTAAAAACTAATCTTAATTAAAGTTATAGTAAAAATTTAAATTTAAATTTTAATAATATACTCTGATATTAATTTTAAATTTTCTAATTCAAATAATATAAAGGTGTCGTATAATTTTTTCCAATTACACAATTTTAACATTCCTTGAAAAATAAATAAAATAAATTTATTAATACATAAAATATATAAACATATTTGGAACTATAATTTCTATTAAAATAATTTTGTTAAAAAACAATCTTCCGATGTTGTTGTTACTATTTGTGGCCCGTGATTGTATAAATAATTTCTATTAAATTATTAAAATAATTTTATGTTTCGACCCGTGATTGTATAAATATTTGATTTTACTTTAATTATTTTCTTTGGATTAATGGTATTATATATATATGTGAAAATTAAATTATATTACAATTTTTTTAATATAAAATTTTAAACATAAAAAATATTTATTACTTTGAGTATTATATTTTATAATTTTAATCGTCTATTATATCACAGTATAGCTAGCATATAACAAATCCAATATTTATAACTAATTCGACTTATATTATAAAATTATTATACTAATAATTTATGAATAAATTCTTATATTCTATATATATGTTATATAAATTGATTATGATGTGTGATTTTTTTTATTAATCTATTGGAAAATTTATTTTAGTCAAGATTGGATTAAGAAAATCTATTATTTAGTTAAGAAAATAAATTAAATTCTTAAATTCTATTATTTAAATTAGGAAAGGATAAACATACTAAAATATAGGTTCAATCAATATTTCAATGGCATTCTATAAATAAAGAGAAATTCTTGGGTTCACCTACTAGGGTGAACTTCTAGGTTCACCAACCAATAAGATTTCAGTATTTCATATTCAGTATCTTTTAAAAAAGGAAACAAAATATTATCGAGTTATATTATGTTTCTAAAATTAAAATTAAAATACAAAAATAAATAAAAATAATAGTAGTTGCAAACAAAAAACTTTTTAAAAAAAATATTTTTAATACCGTCAGCAAAACACTAAACCTTAAAACCTAAATCCTAAACCTTAAACCCTTAGTTAAATCCTCAACCCTTGGATTAATCTTAAACCCTAGGATTTATGATTAATCCAAGGGTTTAGAGTTTACCCAAGGGTTTAGAGTTTAGGATTTAGGATTTAGTATTTAGGGTTTAGTGTTTTGCTGATGGTATTAAAAATATACTTTAAAAAATTAATGATTTATCCAAGGGTTTAGGGTTTACCAAAAGGTTTTAAGGTTTAGGATTTAGGGTTTACCAAAAGGTTTTAAGGTTTAGGATTTAGGGTTTAGTGTTTAATAATAGTATTAAAAAGTTAATATATATATATATATTTGTTTTTTGCAACAACTATTACTTTTTTTTTTTATTTTCATCTTTAAATTTTAAAAACAGAATATAACTCGACAATATTTTGTTTCCTTTTTTAAAATATACTAAATATAAAATAACGTAATCATATTGGTTAGGGGGTGAACCCAAGAATTACTCATGAATAAATGGTAAAACTAAGAGGTATTTCTATTAAGAATTTTTTGGGTGAACCTCTAAGTTCACCAACCAATAAGATTTCATTATTTTATATTTAGTATCCTTTAAAAAAGAAAACAAAATACTATCGAATTATATTATATTTTAAAACTTAAAAGATAAAAATAAATAAAAAAATAATAGTAATTGCAGACAAAAAAAATTTCAAAAATTATTTTTAATACCGTCAGCAAAACACTAAATCTTAAGCCCTTGGGTAAATTCTGAACCCTTGGATTAATCTTAAACCCTAGGATTTAAGGGTTTAGAGTTGATAGTGAAGGCTGAACACGTTAACAT